ATGAATGAAACTGATAGCACTACTCCAACAGATGTGACCACGAAACTGAGTGAGTGAGTGAGTGAGTGAGAGTGAACGAATGAATGATAGTAAATAGAACCCACAGATGGATGCAACCATGAAACTAACTAAACAAGAGATAGTAAATAGATTACCAAAACTGTTGGAAACCCAGACTTTTACTTAAAAAAAACTAGATACCTTTTTCTAACTTTAAAATTCTAACCTTGAAAATAACACGGCTAATACCTTTTGAATTATGCAAGAACAAACCAGACAGACACTGAAGAAGGGTCTAGGCCCGAAACGTCAGCTTTCCTGCTCCTCTGATGCTGCTTGGCCTGCTGTGTTCATCCAGCTCCACACCTTGTTATCTCAGACAGACACTCCAATCTCATTAAAATAACCATTAACAATCAGCAATAACCGGTAACATTTAGCAAATATTTAAACCATCTCCGATTTCCTGCAAAACGGTTCTTGTACAATATCTACTGCTTAGCACTCAACTGTTAGAATGTATGCTTAACTTCTGTATAAAATAGCTGCTTTTGAGCTATGATTTTGGGGATTCTATTTCGCCCTACATCGTGCTGCTGTGAATGTACAATAAAGAGGCGATTTTCGCCACTCACTGATCCTGGTCATCCTGCTCTTTGAACGCGATCTCACAGGTAAAATTTTAAGGTGAAAAGCAGGAGGTTTACAGGCAATTTGAGGAGAACATTTTTCACTCAGAGGGTGGTGGGGATCCGGAATGCGCTCCCTGGGACGATAATTGAGGCAGGAAATCTCACAACCTTTAAAAAGTACGTGGATGAGCACTTGAAATATCAAAACATTCAAGGCTATGGGTCTAGTGCTGGAAAGTAGGACTAATGTAGATTTAAGAGATAGCAGGAACTGCAGATGCTGGAGAATCTGAGATAACAAGGTGCAGAGCTGGATGAACACAGCAGGCCAAGCAGCATCAGAGGAGCAGGAAAGCTGATGTTTCGGGCTTAGACCCTTCTTCAAAAATGGGGGAGGGGAAGGGAGTTCTGAAATAAATAGGGAGAGGGGAGAGGCAGATAGAACATGGATAGAGGAGAAGATAGGTGGAGAGGAGACAGACAGGTCAAAGAGGCGGGGATGGAGACAGTAGAGGTGAGTGTAGGTGGGGAGGTAGGGAGGGGATAGGTCAGTCCAGGGAGGACGGACAGGTCAAGGGGGCGGGATGAGGTTAGTAGGTAGGAGATGGGAGTGGGGCTTGGGGGGGGGGAGGAGGCAATAGGTGGGAAGAAGGACAGGTTAGGGGGGTGGGGACGAGCTGGGTTGGTTTTGGGATGCGGTAGTGGGAGGGGAGATTTTGAAGCTTGTGAAGTCCACATTGATACCATTGGGCTGCAGGGTTCCCAAGCGGAATATGAGTTGCTGTTCCTGCAACCTTCGGGTAGCGTCATTGTGGCACTGCAGGAGGCCCAGGATGGACATGTCGTCTGAGGAATGGGAGGGGGAGTTGAAATGGTTCACGACTGGGAGGTGCAGTTGTTTAGTGCGAACCAAGCGTAGGTGTTCTGCAAAGCGGTCACCAAGCCTCCGCTTGGTTTCCCCGATGTAGAGGAGGCCACAACGGGAACAGCGGATGCAGTATACCACATTAGCAGATGTGCCGGTGAACATCTGCTTGATGTGGAAAGTCTTCTTGGGGCCTGGGATGGGGGTGATGGGGGAGGTGTAGGGGCAGGTGTAGCACTTCCTGCGGTTGCAGGGAAAAGTGCTGGGTGCGGTGGGGCTGGAGGAGAGTGTGGAGCGGACAAGGGAGTCACGGAGAGAGTGTCCCTCCGGGAAGCAGATAAGGGTGGGGAGGGAAAAATGTCTTTGGTGGTGGGGTCGGATTGCAGATGGCGGAAGTGTTGGAGGATGATGCGTTGGATCCGGAGGTTGGTGAGGACGAGGGGGATCCTGTTTTGGTTGTTATTGCGGGGAGGGGGTCTGAGGGATGTGTTGCGGGAAATGCGGGAGACACGGTCGAGGGCGTTCTCGACCACTGAGGGGGAAGTTGCGGTCCTTGAAAAATGAGGACATCTGAGATTTACGGGAGTGGAATGCCTCATTCTGGGAGCAGATGCGGCGGAGGCGAAGGAATTGGGAACGGGGATGGCCTTTTTGCAGGAAGGTGGGTGGGAGGAGGTGTATTCTCGGTAGCTGTGGTGTCGGTGGGCTTGAAATGGATATCGGTTTCTAGGTGGTTGCCAGAGATAATGTTGATTTGTATAATGTTGATAATGTAGATTTAATGTTGTTTTGACAGTGCAGCCTTTATAGGCCAAAGGGCCTCTTCTCTATTGTATGATTCGAATGAGTTTCTCTTCTGCTTCGTCACTGGTGTCTCTGGTATCTCTCAAGGATTTATGCCTGGACCTCTCCTATTTCTCAACTACGCCTAGGTGAGACTGTCTGAAAACAGTCAGTTTCCACGTGTATGCTAACATCACCCAGCTCTAACTCATCACCATGTCTCTGCTGTCTCTATAATCATCAGCACTGCTTGTACACATACAATACTGAAAGGAATGAAATTTCCACCAATTAAACTGGCAAGTGCAAAATCACTGTCATTGCTCCCCACTACAAAGTCCATTCCCTAGCTATTGACTCCGTCCCTCTCCCTGGCAAAGCTGAGGCTAAACTTGACTACTCAACTTGAAATCATACTTAACCTCAGCGTTGAGCTCGCCAGCACATACCCACACATTAAGTAACGATGCCCAATACTATCTGCAATCACATTGCCCAACCTCACTCACGCAAGCTATCTGCTGCTGATCCCCCATGTGTTACCTCCAGGTTTGACCCTTACCATGCCCTCCTTGCTGGTCTCCCATATTCTATCCTGCATAATCTCGAGCCATCTAAACATCTGCTTCTATATCCAAACTTGTACCTAATATTTATCCATCAGCCCTGTGCTTGCTGACCTACACTGAGTCTCAGTTCAGTGAAGCCTCAATTTTAATACACTTTTACTTCAAAATCCTTCCATGATCTCCTACAACCCTAGAACTTGGATATCTGCTCCAATTTTCATACATCCCTGATATAAACCATTCCATTGGCAGCTGTACCATTAGCTCTGCCTTAAGTTCTGGATTTAACTCCTTGTACTTTTCCCTCCATCTCTCTCGCTAACTTTGCCTTAAAATCTCATATTTGGTCATTTACCCCAGTGACTCCTGATGTGGCTTAGGGTGATTTTCTATTTCAGAATACTTTTATCAAACACACTTTGATATACTACTAAACAAAATACCAGTATATGCTATTTACTAGAGGCACCAGGTAAATGAAAGTTGTCAGTGTAGCACTGAGGTTTTCTCAACATTGATGTCTACAATTCAGACCGGGTTCCTGCCCATTGCCAATCTGGGATAAGTTCGATCATTTATGTTGGGAACTGGCACGTATGCCGGTACTGAAGTCAATTAGTGTCAGGATGTAGTAAATGGGAAGTGACCAACAATCAACTTCCCAATACACTATTGACTTTCTTCTGTTTTCTGTTTGCCATGCAGGCTGGATGTCAATAGGGTGAAGTAGAGTCACTTTCCAACCTCATACACAGGTAGATATTGCCCAAAATACCAAGGAAAGAGTGAAATAAGAAGAGAAACTGCTGGAGAAATTCAGCATGTCTGGCAACTTCTGTGGAGAGAAAAGAGTTAACGTTGAGAGCCCAGTAGCCTTCTTCAGGAATCAGTCCAAAATGTTAACTTTTTTCTCTCCACAAAAGCTGAGTTTCTCCAGCTATTTCTGTGTTTATTTCAGATTTCCAGCATCTGCAGTTCTTTGTTTAAGAATGAACATTAGTCAAAGAGAAAAAGATTAATAATAAGGAGAGCACCAAACACTCCTACTCTATATGGGGTAAGTATCAGATGATAGTGTTACTAAATTGTCTCCACTCAAAGTTCCACCAGAGAGATAGACAGACTCCCCCTCATACCCTTAACTCTGCTCATTCATTTTGAAACATAATTACAACTAATCCTTACCCTTCCATTCCCGGTCACCCAGGATGATCTTGTCACACAATTCACACACATGCCGCTTCCTCTTCTCCTCATTTTGGTCACATTCCATGGTTAAAGGCAACACTGGGGGCTCCTCTCCCTGAAAACAAAGAGAGCAGCATTCAAGTAGAAAGTGAAGTGTGTTATGGACCAGACCAGACCCCCTCAAATATTTTAAGAAGGTAGCCTAGACCTTAATGTTTTCTTATTTTAAAGGTAGATGTGAACTACCATGTTCCAGATGCAATGCAACTGGTCAAACTACTCGATGTGAAACAAAACACAATTTATTTAAACACTATAATTAAAATACACACAAAAGAAAGAGGAACTTAGAATACCTTAACTATTGAAAAACTTAACCGAATAGTAGATACAGTACCTATTATTAATTAGGTGTTCCAATATAGTAACATCCCACAAACACACACCTTAGCAAAAAGGAAAACTCAGACACAGATTCTCACATGCATTTCTCCAATCCAGGAAGACAAAACATCAAGAGAAAATTCAGAGAAAGTGGCAGTTAGGTGACATTCACTGAAAACTACAACAAAACTGGAAAGAGATAGTAGGAACTGCAGATGCTGGAGAATCTGAGATAACAAGGTGTAGAGCTGGATGAACACAGCAGGCCAAGCAGCATCAGACGAGCAGGAAGGCTGACGTTTCGGGCCTAGACTCTTCTTCAGAAAGGGTTCTTCAGGCTGGTTCCATTGTTCCAACTTTAAAAAAATCCCTAAGGCCTCACAAATTGTTTACTTAGAGACAGCTTGCTGCCTCTGCCTTACAACCTCTCTTTACAAAAAGCAGGACAAAATAACCTCTTAAAGTGACAGCATCATTACAAGTGCAAACACTGGGGGATCTACATCAAATGTCAACACAGCATCTTACAATCACTGAGTTGTATAAAACTATCAGCTTTCATCAAACTGAGACATTACTTCTAACAGGACTGGACAGGTAGATGCAGGGAGGATGTTCCCGATGGTGGGTGTGTCCAGAACCAGGGTTCACAGTATAAGGATTTGGGGTAGATCATTTGGGACAGAGATGAGGAGACATTTCTTCACCCAATGAGTGGTGAGCCTGTGGAATTCATTACCACAGGAAGTAGCTGATGCCAAAACATTGAATGTATTCAAGAGGCGAATACATATAGCACTTAGAGTGGATGGGATCAAAGGTTATGGGAAGAAAGCAGGGTTAATCTATTGAGTTGGACGATCAGCCATGATCATGAAGAATGGCGGAGTTGGCTTGAAGGGCCGAATGGCCTCCTCTTGCTCCTATCTCCTATGTTTCTATGTTAATAATCTATTTTGAAGAGTCCTATAGAATCTGTATCTGGTTACAGAGAACGCACCACAGGTCAAGAGAATAGTTAATAAATCATATGGTGTTTTGAAGCTTCACCAACAGAAACAAAACAAGTGACAATAGGCACTGGTTCAGCCTCAGCTTGTGAATACTGTGTCCACTTCTGGACACTGCACCTTCTGAAGGATGTAAAGACATTAGAGAGGCAGCAGAAAAGATTCACAAGAATGGTTTCAGGGATGAGAAACTTCAGTTGCATGGATAGACTGGAGGCATTGGCACTGTTTGCCTTGGAGAAGAGAAGGTTGAGGTTGAGAGGGGGCTGGGTTCAGTTGATGGGGAGAAACTCACATTGGTGGGAGGATTGAGGGCTCAATGCTCAGGTTTAAGGTAAATAACAAAATAAAATGAATACAGAAAGAGGTTTTCCCTGCAGTGAGTGATTACCACCTACAGTCTACTGCCTGAGGTTCAATCGAGGCTTTCAAAAGGGACTTGAATTATTATTGAAAAGGAAGTGTGCATGGCTATTGGTGGGGTGGGCTAAACGCGATTAGGTGAATTTCCCTTCAGACAGTCAGCTCAAATACAATGGACCAAATGGCCTCCTCCTGTGCAGTTCATGATTCTATGAGCAGAGTCAGGGGATAGCTGTAATATTCAGAGAATGAAAAGCTTGAATTTACGTAGTACCTGTCACTACAACAGGATGTCTACAACTGCTTTTGCAGTGCCGGAAATGCAGCCTGCTGTGTTCACATTAGCTGCTGTCACAACACTGCTAATAATCAGACAAAACAATTCAGAGAAACTTAGCAGGTTGGCCAGCCTCTGTGAAGACAGAAACAGAGTTTACGCTTTGGCTCCAGTGACGCTACATTATTTGTTCTGAAGAACAGTCACTGAAAAACAAATCTTTTACACAGAGGGTGGTGTGAATGTGTGGAATGAACTTCCTGAGGAAGTGGTGGGTGTGCACAATTACAATGTTTAAAAGACACTTAGATAAGTACATGAATAGGAAAGGCTTGGAGGGATATGGGCCAGGATCAGGCAGGTGGGACTAGTTTAGTTTGGGATTATGTTTGGCAATGGACTGGTTGGACCAAAGGATCTGTTTCCATGCTGTATGACTCTATGACTCTATTGACTCTGTTTTCTCTTCACAGATGCTGTTTTTCTCTTTTTGTTTGATTTCCAGCAACCGTCATTCTTGGTTTTAGTAATTTTGATTCAGGGATAAATATTGACCAGAATGGAGACATTCCCTGCTCTTTGAATAGTACCATGAGATTTTTTTGCATCTAACCGAGTAGGCTGACAGTGTCTCAGATTAAAGGTTTTATTGGATTTAATGTACATTTAAAGTAATATAAATATTAAATACAGCGTGTGTAGGGCACTGCAGACAAGTAACCGTGGAAAATTAAAATGTAAAAATGCACAACAGGAAAATAATGAGTTAATTCACAGAATCATATAATCCCTACAGAGCAGAAGCAGGCCATTCAGCCCACTGAGTCCACATGGGCCCTCTGAAGAGCATCCCAACCAGAACGATGTCCCCCTAACCTTATTCCCTGTAATCCTGCATTTCCCATGACTAATCCACCTAACATACACATCTTTGGACTTTGTTGGCAGTAAGGAGGACTACAAATTCTAGGAAACAGAAAAAGAATAATTAAACAGTCAGTTCACAACAGAAGAGTTAGAAAATTGAGTTGTGAGCAGAAGAACAGGGCAGGGGAAAAATTCAGTGGGTGGACTGAATGAGTGGCCAAAAGATTCCATTATCCATGAAATTATCTGGGAATTAAAGCACAAAAACATGACATTCAGGCCAATGTTTAGCCAATTTTATACTCCAGACAAGACTCCTTTAGGATCCTGAGGGGTCTTGACAGCGTACATGTGCAGAGGTTGTTTTCTCTTATGGGAGAATCGAAAAGCAAGGGTTTCCCCATTTACAGAGATTTCACATATAGTTTTGAGAGTTGTGATTCTGGGACTCTTTTCCTGAAAAGGTAGTGAAAACAGAGTCCCTGAATATTTTTAAAGGCAGAGGTAAATACGATTTTTGTTAAGCAAGGGGGTAAAAAACCATCAATGGTAGACAGCAATGCAAAGGTAACAGTCAGCAGTTAAGGGCATAGCAGCATTGTACAGTGCACAGTTTCTCTGAAAACAACTTCAGTAAGAGGTAAACTAAAATGAACAATGAAGTTAAGGAATGGTAACTTTTCAGAAGCGGTAATTCAAAGGTTAACAGCGCAAGCATAGTTCAGAAACTACGGGAACAGAGTTCGTAACTACGATACTGATTTAACTAAAGGGGAGCAAAGAGTTGCCGTTTATAAGTCTATCAATGCTACAATAATGATTAAAAAGAAGAGCTCTAAACCTTGATCACTTTCTTCACCTGAATGGGTTCAAGGCCAAATCTTGGCGTTAAGAGTATGAGAGGAGATGAAAGGGCAAAAGTTGGAAAACACAGTACAAATCAGGCTGTGGGAACCCGCTGCAGCTAGAAGTTATTTCTGCAGTTGCAACAGAGTTGGACATTTGAGTGAATCCACGAGAATATTGTCTGTGTAACAATACAAACTGTACAACTGAATGACCATAGTCTATGTCAGTCCATAACTACATTAACGTAAATGACCCAGGCTTGCTAGAAAACTATAATTGATTGTGGGAATTTGTGTGCCATCTTCAGGAATGCATGATCCCCTTGTATATGCTGAAATAAACCGGTGAACAAAGAAACCAGAGTCTCATCAAACCACTGCGGGTGAGGAGGGTTGTCGTACTCCCACTCCAAGACGGAAACGTGGGTTCAACTACCTGCAATAATATCTTCTGTATTTCTATTCTATTTGCAAGTTTATTTGTTATTCTAAAGACCTGTATCAATTTGAATGTTCATATATTGTCTTGCGCCAAGTCCCATCAGATAGCCAAAGGGTTTGTCTTTCTTTAGCCTGCACTTGGACAGAGCTATCAGATTATTCACATTCCTCTGCAAATCTGCCATTTATGCATTTATTCATTTCCATTTTGAAACTTATAATTAAATCTGTTTCCACTGCACTTACAGGGAGCGCATTCCAGATCACAATTCATTGTAAAATCTTCCCTTCAAGTTGCCTTTAGTTCTTTTCAAAAAGATCTTCCATCCCTGATGTTTGGGTTTGGCTTTTCTGCCATTCAAATCAGCTGCTCCTAGTTTTCACCATCAAGACTCTCCATGACTTGGAACATCTCAATCTCCTCCAGTCTCCACTGCTCTAAGAAGAACAATCCCATTTTCCCAGTTTCTGCAGTCTTTCCACAGAACTGAAATCTCTTGACCCAAGCACCATTCTACTAAATATCTCTGCGCCCACTTTCTTCCCAAAGTCTGATGCCCAGCATTGGAGATGATACTTCAGAAGAGGCCAAATCACTACTTCAGAAAGGTTTAACACAATATCCTTGCCTTTTTCACTCTTAAAAAAACCAAGGCCTCTTCCAATTTTTTTTAAAAAAAGTCTTTTTTTCTTTCGGGTCTATTCCTGTATAAATGAGTCTGACCAATTTGCTGCTGTCCCTACGGCTCTGCCACTGATGCAGCACTTTTAACGGAGTAGTCAAAGTTGACCGAGCGTGTTCTGGGCTTTTCAATTTCAACTGTCAGCTCAGTGTACAAGACACAGGATGCGGAGATAATGAGAGTGAGGCCTTTTCATCAAGTTTGTTTCCTTCTTATATTTAACTCTTTATTTTTGATTCTGTGGGCCCAATGCTTTCTTTACTCCCTTCTTCAATATATTTTCCTGTTGAGAGAGTCAGGCAGTTACAGCAAATGTTGCAGGGTTTAAACAGTTCAGGGAAGAACGTGTGGAATGATGGGTCAGCTGAAACAGAATGCTTTGTACTTTGTTCATCAAACAATGCCTCTTGTGCTCTGTACCTTTAAGCAGCTTTCAAGGATCTGCATTGCAGGATGCAGCACGGTTTCCTCCCATTTGCTCACATCAGTCACATCCAGACCATATACAGGAGGAACATTAGCTCCTGGCCCTTGGAAACAAAATGATATAAAAGTAGTCAGAGAATGTCTGTAGTCATCTCACAGGACAGGCCTCACACGGCTAACATTTGCTAGTTTTAAACTTATCCCTTTCCAGTTGCTAATGTGAGGAACACAGGAATAGTTCATTCAGCCATCACACCTGCTCTGTCATTCGGTACGACCATGACTGATCGAATACTTCAATGCCTTTTACTCTACCATCCACATAACCCCGTATGCCAATGGTAATCAGAAATCTATCAATCTCTATACTCAAAGAACAGACCGTCCACAACCCTTCGAGGTAGAGAATTCCAAATGTTCACAACCTCGGAGTAAAAACATTTTGCCATCTCAGACCCAAGTGCCACCCTCCTTATTTATAAACTGTGTGCCCCTGGTTCTAGACACCCAAACTAGGAAACTTTCCAGTCTGGTCCATCTTCATTGCACTCACTCTATGGCAATAATACCTTTCCTGAGATAAAGTGATCAAAACTGCACACACTACTCTATTCAAGCTCCTATACAATTGAAGTAAGACTTCTTTGCAGCTATATTCAAATCTTCTTGTACTGAAGGCTAATACCCCATTGGCCTTCTTAATTGCTCACTGCACCTGCACATTAACCTTCAGCTAGGACACCGACGGTCCTTTGTAAATCTACACTTTCCAACCTTTCATCATTTAAGAAATAGTCTGCACATCTGTTCCACCTACCAAAGTAGATAACCTCACATTGTTCCATGTTATATTCCAGTTCCCTTGTTCTTGTCCAGCCAGTAAGCCTGTCCAAATCCTCTTGAAGCTGCTTTACATATTCCTCACAACACACACTCCTATTTATCTTTGTATCATCTACAAATTTGGAAATATTACATGTGGACTCCCCTTCCAATTCACTGATGTATATTAAGAACAGCTAGAGCCTGCCAACCCAAGAATGACCCATTTATCCCTATTCTGTTTTCTGTCTGTTAACCAATCATTAATCCATGCCAGTACAGTTATCCCATGTGTTTTAATATTTTTTTTAAAAATCAGTCTCCTGTATCAAATGCCTTCTGAAATTCTAATAACTTGGTATCTTTTCCTTCACCCCATCTATTCACTTAAAAAGGTACACAGATACAATCCACCTGTGCCAGAGGTTTTATCCTCAATTATCTCCTCCCTTTATTTATTTTTTTTGAATTCTTCTGATGCCAGACTGAACTGCTAGTCTCCCTGGAAAAATATTAAGGAAAAGTGGCTATTCAATATTTGGCATCTTGCTGTGATTAACTGAGAGTTGTTGTTAGTATCTCTGTGGATTTTTTCGTTTTGTTCTTGTGTATCTACAGAATAATTTATTTATTTCCATATTCCTTTCTGCTTATCCAGTTTCCTTTAACATTTTTCCTAATATTTTTGCCATTGTCTGCTGTCATCGATTTACTCAGCATCTGTCATTCACTTCAATTTTGTTTTTGATGTTAATCTTTTCTTCACCCATTGTTTTGTTATGGCTGACCTATTCTTGCATTTTAGCAGGATATATTTTTCTGGGCAATATCAATAGTCTAAGTCGTTCCCACTGCTGTCTATTTCTTGTTGCTCAGTAAATCTTTCCAGACTCTCTCTTTCTGAAGCTCTGAAAATCAGCTCATTCCAAGTTATTGCTTGGTCTTAGTTTTACTCAATCTCCAAGTTATGATAATTTATTTCACATTAACAATGAGCAGTCCTAGTACAAACAGTCCATTTAAAACGATCGTAACCTTTACCACTTGTTATCACTTAGCAGAGATCCTACTTTGAGAGCTCACAGAATCACAGAGCACAAAAGATCATTCAGTCCATCATGCCTTTGTTATATTCTACAACAGCTATTCCACTAGTCCCACTGCTACTACTGAAAATGCTTTCACTCCTTTCCACATAGTTAACACCAACCAAAAAAAAAGTCTCGTCTCTGGTAGGCAAGTTATTGGAGAGGATACTGAGGGGCAGGATCAACCAACATTTGGATAGTCAAGGTCTGATTGGGAATAGTCAGCATGGATTTGTGTGCGAGAAGTCATGTCTGACAAATCTTTGAGTTTTTTTGTAAGAGGTAACCAACAGGATAGAGCAGTGGCTGTTGTCTATATGGACTTTAGTAAGGCCTTTGACAAGGTCCCACACGGCAGGCTAGTCATGAAGGTTAGGTCGCATGAGATCCATGGGGAGCTAGCTAATTGGGCTCAAAATTGGCTCGATGGTAGGAAGCAGAGGATGATGGTTGAAAGTTGTTTCTCGGACTGGAGGCCTGTGACTATTGGTGTGCCACAGGGGTTGGTGCTGGGACCTTTGTGTTATTTGTTATTTACATAAATGATCTGGATGTGAATGTACAAGGCGTGATTAGTAAGTTTGCGGATGAAACAAAATTAGTTTGTATCGTTAATAGCGAGGAAGGTTATCAAAAATTAAAGAGGGATCTTGATCAGGTGGGGAAGTGGGCTGAATATTGGCAAATGCAATTCCATACAGATAAGTGATAGGTGTTGCACTTTGGAAAGTCAAACCAAGGTAGGACTTATACAGTAAATGGTAAGGTCCTGAGGAGTGTTGTGCAACAGAGGGACCTAGGAGTACAAATACATAGCTTGTTAAAAGCAGCGTCACAGGTAGACAAGGTGGTGAAGGCGGCATTTAGCATACTGGCTTTCAATGATCGAGGCAGTGAATATAGGAGTTGGGGCGTTATATTACAGTTGTATAAGACGTTGGTGAGGCCGTGCTTGGAGTATTGTGTACAGTTTTGCTCATCCTGTTATAGGAAAGACGTAGTCAAACTGGAAAGTGCGCCAAGAAGATTTACGAGATATGGCAAGAACTAGTAGGCCTGAGTTATAGGGAGAGGTTGGCCAGGACAGGACTTTATTCCTTGGAAAGTAGAAGAATGAGGGGTGACCTTATTGAGGTGTATAAAATCATGACAGGCATAGATAGGCTAAATGCATATAGTCTTTTTCCCATGGATGGGGAATTGAAAACTAGAGTGCATAGATTTAAGGTGAGGGGGGACAAATTTAAGAAGGACCTGAGGGGCAACTCCTTCACACAGAGTGGTGCATATATGGAATGGGTTGCCAGAGAAAGTGGTTGAGGCAGGTACAATAGCAACATTTAAAAAAACATTTGGATAGTACATGGATGGGAAAGGTTTAGAGGGATATGGACCAAAAGCGGGCAATTGGAACTAGCTGAGTAGGCACCATGGTCAGCATGGACCAGTTTGGGCTGAAGGGCCTGTTTCCATGCTGTACTACTCTATGGCTTTATGACTCTGCTGCAATTCTCATTATTGATTTCCTCCAATTAGTCTCAGCCTACTCTGATTTGAAATGGAAATTTCTACATATCTCAGTTTGGAATACTAGTGCAGAAACTACCAGTTAATTGGAGTGCATCAGTTAGGACTACACACATCAATACAAATTTTGAATAGGCATAAATGGTCTTTAATAGCACAAAAGGAGCTGACTCATAACAGCAGGATATGGACAGACTGGTTAGGTGGGGTCATCAGTGGCAAATGGAACTCAATCCAGATAAAAATCGAGACGATGCACTTGGGCAGGACAAACAAGGCAAGGGAATACATGTTGAATGGTAGGACTCTGGGAAGCACCAACAATCAGAGGGCCTTGATGTGCACGTACACCAGTCCCTTCAGATATCAGTACAGGTGGATAAAGTGTTTCAGAAGGCATATGGGATATTTACCTTTATTAGCTGAGGCATAGAGTTTAAGAGAAGGGAGGTGAAGCTGGAACTGTTTAAAACATTAGTTTAGACCACAGCTAGAGTATTGTGTGCAGTTCTGGAATCCACATTATAGGAGGGAAGTGACAGCAATGAAGAGGGTGCAAAGAAGATTTATCAGTATCTTGCCTGGGCTGGAGAATTTTGGTTATGAAGAGTGATTGGCCAGACTGGGTTGTTTTCCTTAGAGCAGAGATTGACAGGTGACATGTTTGAGCTGTATAAAATCATGAGGGGCATACATAGGGTAGACCGGAAGAAACATTTCCCCTCAATGGAGGGATCAATGACTAAGGGTACTGACTGGAGGGAAAGAGTAATAGATTTTGAGGAGATGTGAGGAAAAGTATTTTCACCAGAGTATCATAGGAATCTTGCACTCACTGCCTGCAAGGGTGGTTAAGGGAGAAACACATGTAACATTTAAGGAGTATTTGGATGTGCACTTGTGATGCCAAAGCATACAAGCAATGGGCCAAGTGCTAGAAAATGGGATTAGAATAGTTAGGCAGTTGTTTATGATTGGCATGGATGCGATGGGCTGAAAGGTCTTTTTCTCTGCTGTAGATCTCAGAGTCTATATCCTAACCAGGCCCAGTGGTTTGTTCTTCAGTTCTCATTCTGCTACTTACTTTTTAGGAAACGATTGCGGACCCATTTGTTTTGCTTCCTTGCATAACGCTTTGTGACTTGTTTGAGTGCAGCAATACCTGCCAGGGAAAGACATGGTGTTATCAGAACAGTCACACACTCCCTCACTGTCCAAACACTGCAGAGACAGAATCAGCAGTGTGCAAATACGTTCTTCCAAGTCCCAAACAAACACAGCTAAATCCTAACTGCAGAGATCCTACATCAGCTTCAGTACTCATGTGCTATGCTCAATGATTGCTGCCACTGAGATTTGACTCAGTCAGTACCACTCCTGACATGAAGTATAGGATTCACTCCAGTACTGAACCCACAATCTAGTGCAGCACTGCCGTTAGAGATGCTGCCATGTGGATGACGATGTTGCTCTTGGCTGACTACACACTCAGGAAATACAGCCTGGGCAATTCATGTGGACTGCAGTACTGCAGATAGAGGACAGGGAAATCTGTAAACTCCCAGTGCTCTCCTGTTTCCCATTTAACACAGGCAAAGTAATGTGCCTGATATCTAACTGATATCATTGAGCCACATCATGGCTGATGTTAACAACTATCCTCATGCACACACAACAAAGCATGTTAGTGTGAGAGGCAACATCCAGTTTGCCTCAGGGTTCATCTGCAACTCCCATGTAACATGCAGCCCAAGCCAGTAACGGTGTTCAAAATCCATTCCCCAGTTAAGCTTTCCTCAGTTCATCACTCAAATAGAAGCTACGTTACCAAATCCAGTATTCCACTACACCTGGTATATCAGCTTACACATTGTTACCTTGGTTCAGCAGCTTTTCCCTAGTCTCACTGCAGCTGCTGTTTGAGGTCAGATATTCGTGGAATTCCTTGAATCCAATGGACTGAAAGATGCCATGTTGGTAGTCCTGGCTGTGTCCCAATGGAAAAAGATCCAGACACAAGAGTTAATCAATAATCTGCCAATTAACAAAACAAAAAGGACAGTGCAGCAGAATGATTCATAAAATGCACAGTTTTCGAGGACTACAGACACATGCTTTTGATCACTGGTATGGAGAAACACCTCTCACGTAATCTCTCCTTGCTAGAGAAGGAGAAATATTCACAAATCATTCAATGGCTTATAATTTTATGGTTCTGGAGCACAAAAACGCAGTGAAAGTTGAGCAGGATGTGAGGCTGTTCACAAAGAGACGTATTCAAGTCTCCAATGACCCATGCAGATTGGGCTGATTTCTTCAGTTTACAATACTCCAATGTTCCTAATTTCTTTTTCATGAAGCCAGTTTGTGAGAGCACTGTCATCACCTAAAACTCTAAACTACAGCCCTCAACTGTTTTGTAAGAACAGAAGTAGGTCATTCAGCCCTTCAAATCTGCTCCACCATTCAATGAGATCATTCCTGATCTGATAATCCTCAAATTGATGTTCCTGCCTTTTCCCTGTAACCTTTGATTCCCTTAGTGATTAAAAATCTGTCAATCTCAGCCCTGAATGTACTTAATGACCCAGCCTTGACTGCCCACTGTGGTAAAGAATTCAACAGCCTCAGAAAAAATCTTCTGTCGTACATGAGTGACCCCTTATCGAGTGATGATGCCCTCTGGTCCTAGACTCTCCCACAAGGGGAAACAAACTCTCTGCATCTACCCTATTCTAAATTCTAAAGGAGTACAAGCTCATGTACTCAATCACTCCTCATACCCAGAATCAACATAGTGAACCTTCTGTGGTCTGCATTCAATGCCAGTATATCTTTCCTTTGAAAACAAAAGGCCAGTAGTCCAATTGCCTTCCACCTATTTTTGTGTCATCCACAACACTGGCTATTCACTTCCCTTATCCAAGTCATTAATATACACTGTAAATAACTTTGGCTCTAGCACTGATCTCTGTGGCACTCCACTAGTTACAGGCTGTCATCCTGGAAACACCGCACTCCACCGCACCCCCCCCATCCCAACTCTGTCTTCTGTTAGTCAATTCTCTATCTGTTCTAACATACTACTCCCAACCCCATGGGCCTTTATCATATTAAGTAGCCTAAAGTCCAGTACCTTACCAAATGCCTTTTGGAAATCCAAATATGTTACATCGATTGGTACAACTTTATCTATCCTACTTGCTTCTTTCTTAAAACTAACAAATTTGTCAGAAATGATTGCCTCTTCATGATGCTGTACTGACTCTGCTTGATTACGTTGTGTATTTTTAAATGCGCTGCTACTGTATTCCTTATAATAGACACTAAACTTTTCACAATAGATGTTAAGCTAACTGGTCAGTAGTACCTGTTCTTTGTCACCCTCCCTTTTTGAATATAGATGTTGTATTGACAGTTTTCCAATCCTCTGGGACTTCTTCAGACTTTAAGAATTCTCCAGAATACTGAGAACAGTGTGGATAGAGTGGACATGGAGAAGATGTTTCCACTTGTAGCACAGACTAAGACCTGAGGACACTGCCTCAGAGTGAAGGGACAACCCTTTAGAATTGAGATGGAGAGGAATTTCTACAGCCACAGGATGATGAATATGTGGAAATCATTGCTGCAGAAGGCCACGGAGGCTAAATCATTGTGACTGAAGTTGATAGGTTCTTGATTAGTAAGGGTATCAAGGGTTACAGGGAGAAGGCAGGAGAGTGGAGTTGAGAAACACATCAGCCATGATCAAATAGCAGAGTAGACTCAATGGGCCGAATGAATTCTGTTGCCAAATCTTACGGTTTTACGAACTGATGCAAAATATTTATTCAACTCCTCTGCCATTTCATGGTTCGTACATGATTACTTCCCCAGTCTCATTCTCTAAGGGGTCTGTGCTCACTGTAACTTCCTTTTTATATATTTAAAGATAGATACCATCCATTTGCTGTCCATTTTTTATATTACTTGCTAGTTTGCCCTCATGGTATATTTTTTTCTTTTTGTTTTGTCATTTGTCTTTTGTTGGCTTTTAAAACTTTCCCAATCCTCTGGTTTACCACTAATCTTTGTCATACGTTGTATGTTTTTCTTTCAATTTTATACCAGCCTTAACTTTATTGGTTAATCATGAATAGTTCACCCACTTCCTAGAATCCTTCTGCCTCGCTGGGACAGAACTTTGTTGGGAGTCATTACTACACTCAGTCCTTGTTATTCGAGAGAGATAGGGGCATGGACTTCCTGCGGGTGAGAGAGACGTGAATACCAACTTTGCCCTCTCCTACGAACCGCGAAAGACTGCATGATGTTTACCAAGGCAAACTGCACGTGGAACTGGACAGGACAATAAGAAAAAATTGAGATGGGATCTGGGGTTGACCTCACGAGTGTGAAGCTCCAGGGTGAAAAACTCCTTGATGTGCTTAAACATGTTACAATTTTCCTCAACTGTCTTTCTTGCTAAACATCTGTTGCAGCCCACTCCAGCCAACTCTGATCTCATCCCTATGTCCAAAGTCTATAAATGTGTAGATTAGGGTGGATTGGCCATGCTAAATTGTGCACAGTGTCCAGATATGTGCAGGTTAGGTGGATTAGCCAATGGGAAATGCAAGGTTACAGGAATTGGATAGCGGGGGTGCTCTTCGGAGAAGCAGTGTGGATTCACTGGACTGAATGGTCTGTTTCCACACAGTAGGGATTCTATGATTCTATGTAATTCCCCCTATTTAAATTGACAGAGGTTTATAATAAGACTTAGATGTGAACATTTATGGTGGAAAATGTAAGTGTTGGTGGAAGAAGTACAAGTGCAGCCACTATCACAGCAAATATCATTTCCTTGTAAATAGCTAAGTTAAATCAGACTAAATAAAGGAAGTTCACCCATTCCAAAATTTATTATCCCAGAATATGGCAATTGGGAAGAAACAGCTGTCATGGTATGGAAGGTTGGAGTTATAAAAAAAGGCTGGAGAGGCTGGGGCATTGTTCACCAGAGTGTAGGAGGTTGAGAGGTGACCTTATAGAAGTTTCCAAAATAATAAGGGGTACAGACAGAGTAGCTGGTAGTTGTCTTTTCCCTAGGACATGGGATTTCAAGTCTAGGGGGCACAATTTCAAGGTGAGAGGAGAGAGGTTTAAAAAGAGACATAAGGGGCAATTTTTGTTTTTTACAGAGGCTGGTTCACTTATGGAATGAACTTCCGGAGGAAGTAGTAAATGTGGGTACAATTACAATGTTTAAAAGACATTTGGATAAGTACATAAAAAGGAAAGGTTTGGAAGGATATGGGCCAGAAGCAGGCAAGCCGGACTAGTTTAGTTTGGGATTATGGTTGGCGTGGGCTGGTTAGACTGAAGGGTCTCTTTCCGTGCTGTATGACTCTATGCTTCATAACTTAAGGAGTTAGAGTGAAAAAAAACTGGTCAGAAGATCAAAAAACATTCAGGAAAGGGAATGCATTTAACTTGCAAACGACAGCCTGGCTCTTCTTAAAATAGTCGGGATTTATCACGAGTCCACAAGACAAGAGAAAGTTGGTCAACAGACGCAAAGGTGAAATCAAATAGTCAGCATGTATTTGGAAAAGGCACCTTGTATCTAGCTAAATGATTTGGATAAACTGAGGAAATCAGAGTGTCCAGAGGCAGTGACATTTACCTAAATGGGCGCTTAAGTGATAGGATGAAAACTGAAGCAGGTGGTGCTGAAGGAAGAGATAACAAGGTGTAGAGCTGGATGAACACAGCAGGCCAAGCAGCATCAGAGGAGCAGGAAGGCTGACGTTTCGGGCCTAGACCCTTCTTCAGAAATGCAGGAAGGATTATTGGATGGACAGAAGTGGTGAGGAAACAAAAAGCAAAAAAAGGAAGTAAATTGATTGGCCAAAATTATTAGAGAGGAAAACTCAATAGTTTCAAATATTACTTTTAGAAACCTAAACAAATAAACAAATATGCACAGATGCAGCTCCTTCCACCACCCAACACCATCTCAAAGTGCTCACAGCCAATGAAAGTACATTTAAGGTGCTGCGATTCAAGAAATTTGCACACACAGGATCACAGAACAAGCAACAAAATAAATCATTGGATCATCAGCTTTAGGTGTTGGATAACTAGTTGTGAAAATTCGGTACCATTTGTGACACCCTCAGATACTGAATCAGTCCCTGTCCATCTGCAGTACGTCTGGGACAACATCCTGGCCTCAACTGATATGTGCAAATGACATGCACATCACACAAGCTCCAGTCAATGACTATCTTCAACAAGAGAATCTGACCATCCCCCCCTTGATGTTCAATGGCAATACCATTGTTGAAGCCCCTGTCGACATCCTGGGGGGATTACCTTCCACCAAAAACTGAACTTGACCAGTTGTATAAATAGTGGCTACAACAGCAGGCCAGAGGCTTGACATGCTGCAGCGAATGACTCAATGCCCGACTTGCTAAAGCCTGTCCAATATCTACAAGGTACAGGATAGGAACGTGATGGAACACAACTTGTCAGGATAGGTGCAGCTCAAACGAGAGTGAAGAAGCTCAACACCATTCAAGACAAAGCATCCCGTTTGATTGGTACCCCATCCACCACCTTCAACATTCACTCCCTCCAGTCTTCACACAGTAGCAGCATTCTGCACCATCTGCAGGACGTACATGCAGCAACTCATGACTCACCAAGGCTCATTCGACAGCACCTCCCAAACCTGTAATCTCTACCATCCAGAAGGACTAGGGCAGCAGATACATGGAAACACCACCACCTGCACGTCCCCTTCCGAGCCACTCACCATCTTGACTTGGAAATATTGTTGTTACTTCAGTAACTGGCTCAAAATCGCAACACTCCCTCCCTAACGGCATTGTGGGAGCACCTACACCAAGGATTGCAGCGGTTAAGAAGATGGCTCACCACTATCTTCTCCAGGGCAATTAGGGATGGGCAATAGAGATTGGTGTTGTCAGCCACGGTCATTCACCAATGACAAATAAACAAAGATATGTTCAAGAATAGGGAGACCTACTAGAATAGTTATCCTTAAAGGGGTAAATGGACAACACAAGAGGCCCTAGTCAGTATGGAGAGAACATTAGAAAGCAGGCCTGAAATAAGAGAAATGAATGGTAGGGGTGTATGGGCTGGTAAGGATGGAGACAGTCTGGAATTGTAATCCTCCTCTAGCCTTCCAGCATTTCTCACAAGACAGGGTTTTCTTGCTGAACTATGTCTGTGACCAGACCTGTTCTCGGCTATCTTCTGCTGGTTGTATCGAGTATGAAAACCCATCAGCTCTTCCAGAAGGCCTGCAGCCAGCATTTCATCGACTCGACGATCCAAACGCTCATCAAGGACTGGAGTCAGAAAGTGAAGAGACAGAAAGTGAAGAAACGTAAGATTTGCGACATTCTGTGAAGAGTTTACAATAAATTATTGCGCAAGAGAAAAAAACCAAATGAGTCGACAAATTAAACACTCAATCCTCACACCAACAGAATTAGTTTAAACATCTAACTGTATCAACGCGAACTCTGCTACTTTCAGGGCAATCCCCATTTTCTCTCCACAGTTCCCTGCCTTGATCCTCTAATTACCTAGTGCTCCTGTGCTCACTGATTTACATTGGCTACCAAGTTAAGTTTAACCTTAATATTCTCCTCCTGGTTTTCAAATCTCTCTACGGTCTCACCTCCCCACTTCTTTCTTCCCCAAATCCCTCTGATCAAAACTCAGGAGTTTGTTATGCATGTCCAGTTCTGGTCTCATGTATCCCCAACTTTCATTGCACCCCTGGGGACCAAACCTAATAGGATAAATACTTGTAATAGAAACTCTTGCAGTGAAAACTGCTGGTAAGTGGAAGGAATTAGAAAGCTCTCCCAGGATTGTCACAGACAAAATGGATCAAACAGTTTGCTTGTGCTGTATAATTCTTTAAACTCCCAAAATGGTGATAATGGACTAGCAAGGGTTATAATTATTGAATATATACTGTTTGTATTAGGATGTTTCATGTTAAATAAATCTCATTATTTTGTCATAATTTAAAGTAAAATTCAAACAGAGACAAGACAGACAAAGTAACACACTGGAATAAAGCTGATTTTGAAAGGATGGGAATAAAACGGGAAAATTAATTGCAAAATTCTACTGATAAAGACAGAAAAGCAGAGGGAAATAAATAGACTCCAGAAGAAATATGTTCTGCTATAAAGCAAGGACAAATGAGGCAGCACTGAGACACAGTGGATGAAGAGAATTAAAACCTAACTAAAAGACATGCAGTAAGTAAATCAGGGATGACAGTCAAAGAGAAAAAGCGGGAGTTTGGGAGACATGGGGTTGGCTGGACTGGGCATGGGGAGGGTGAGGCAGGGGTTGAAGGCTGCAGGGCCTGAGATGAAATCTCACACTGCCACATCAGTCATTAAACAGCTGACCTCTGCAGTCAGCAGTCCCTACAACTGTGTCTCAACACTCTCCTAGGTCGGCTGGCCTGACTTCAGCAGTCACCCCTCTGGAGCTATTCCTGTCCTCCAGATCCTACCTGTTGCTCCAGAATAGCCCCCTTGCTATATCTGGGTGCTCCTTAATGATTTATGAGGACTTGCTGTCCCAACAGGAGCCCTCCCACTGTGACTAACCATTGCTACCATCTCTCAGTGGCCAGCCCCTCAGCCACTCCTCCAGGTACCTGCTGCATGCTGGGATGGGAGAAGCTGCAGCACCCGGGTCTGAAAGGAGGAAGCATCTTTGATTGGAAGATGAGTTGTCTTTCTTTCTCCTAATGCTTCTCCAATCACGGCAGTACACAGAGTTCCAACTCTCTGCAAATCTCTGGGTCAGTCTGATATTATTTTTTAATAAACAAGGAGTGTGCCAGACAGTCGCTGAGAGCAGCCTCGCACTTTTGGCCAGTTTTAAATAAAATTTCCATCACTGACAATCTCTCTTTATTTTTACTTACCTTTCCATGGGACATGGGCGTCATTGGCAAAGCTAGTATTTCTTGCCCATCTCTAACTGCCCTTTGATCCAAAAGGCTTGCTGGGCTATTTCAGAGGCTCATTAAGAAAACACCACTCACTGGGGCCTGGAGTCACATATTGACCAGACTGGATAACGACAGTAGCTTTTCACTTCTAAAGGACATCAGGTGAACCAGTTGGGCTATTATGACAATCAACAACAGTTTCACGGCCACCACCATGAATGCTGCATGCTTTCACACATTGGTGCAAATTAGAGCATTTAGCAGAATTACTTTTTCACATTTTCTCTTACCTGACAAGTCAGCGTGCAGCCAGAGTATACAAGGCCGTGGAAAGCGCAGCGCTCCTCCGAGGGGTCCTCCTCCTTCCTCCTGGCGCTGTTTCAGTAGAAGTTTGCTGTGGGGAACTCCAAGCTCTTCGTAGACCTGCAGACTTCTGCTCAGAGAAACAAGGCATGTTATTGAATTACCTACAGGCAGGCAAGAAGAGGTCTTTGTTCCTTCAACTAACAGAAAATGCTGGAGAAACTCAGCGAGTTCAAAAAATAGAGGGCATATTTTTCAGGTGAGAGTATAAAGATTTATAAGGGACGTGAGGGGCAACTTTTTCATTTAGAGGGTGGTTTGTATGTGGAATGAACTGCCAGTGGAAGTGGTAGATGCAGATACATTTACTGCATTGAAGCCATTTGGATAGGTACATGGGTAAGAAAGGTTTAGAGGGATATGGGCCAACTGCAGGCAAGTGAGACTAGTTTTAGTTTGGGAAATATAGTCGCCATGGGCAAGTTGGGTCTGTTTCTGTGCTGCATGACCCTAGGATGCTAAGTCTGATAGCATCTGTGGAGGCAGAAACACAGAGTTCTAAAGAAGATTCACGCTGCACTCAAAACATTAACTGTCTTTCTCTCTCCACAGATGCTGCCAGATCCATTGAGTTTCTCCAGCATTCTGTGTTTGTTTCAGTTTTCTAGCATGCTGTGGATGCTGGAAGGAGACCTTTGTCTCCTTCTGTCTGGATATAACCTTAACACACTGAGTCGTTTCCACTTGTGGGAAGGCCAAAGTTAGGTTTCATAAATAGTCACACCAATAAATCAAGCAGGGAATTCAGGGAAAGGTTCTTTATCCAGAGAGTGATTAGAATGTTTTACTTGTTACTACATGAGTACCTAAAGCAAATGTTATTGTTGTATTTCAGGGTAGCTAGATAACCATTGGAGGCGGGTGGGGAGAGAGTAGGAGAGAGCGGAGGTGACTACGTCAAAGAAAGGTGAGAGTAGGCTCTTAAGGAGCATAAACACTGACACAGACCATTTCTGCTAAATCGTCAGTTTCTGTGCTGTATATGGACTATGAGGAGGATAATAATAGATTTCAAAAGGACACAGCCAGACTGATGGAACAGACAAACACGACAAACGAAAATCAATGCCGGGAAGAGTGAAGTGATTGATGTTGGTCAGAAGAACCAAGAGAGGGAGTATAAAATAACAGATGCAACAGCAGAGGACCTGGGGTAAATGTGCAGACATTGTTCAGGACCAGTTGGGGAACATGATTAGGATCCTGAGTAATGGAAACAGGAGCATAACAGGCAAATGGAAAGAGGTTATGGTGAACTTCCCAAATCACTGGGTTGATCTCAACTGCAAAACTGTGCCCAATTCTAGGCACTGAACTTTAGGAAGGATTTGAAAGATTTAGAGTATGGAAAATATTTATGAGAATGATTCTAGGATCAGGGACATCAGATATAAACATAGTTAGAGACAAAAAAAAACTGCAGACGCTGGAATCCAAAGTAGACAAACAGGAGGCTGGAAAAACATCTGGAGGAGGAGAAGTCAACGTTTCAGATACGGTTACAGGGGAAGGTACTGGGCGGGTTGGAGTGGTTGGTGGGACGAACTAAGGAGTGGTGAAGGGAATGGTCCTTGCGGAAAGCAGAAAGGGGTGGGGAGTGGAAGATGCTCTTGATGGTGGGGTCTAATTGGAGTTGGTGGAAGTGTTTGAGGATGATACGTTAGATGCAGAGGCTGGTGGGGCAAAAAGTGAGAACAAGGGGGACCCTATCGTTATTATATTTATGATTCTGAGGCACGGTAGAGGGCTGTCTGGACGACAGTGGGGGGAAAAGAGCATTGTTTGAAATAGGAAGACATCCGGGATGCTTAGGAACGGAACATCTCCTCGTTGGAGCAGATGTGAGGGAGGAATTGTCGGTCTGTAAACTGTCGCCGGAAATGGAAACAGAGAGGTCAAGAAAGTGGAGGGAAGTGTCTGAGATAAGACACTCAAATTCACTTGGTCCATCTCAGGCACCTCCCTCCCCTTTCTTGACCTCTCTGTTTCCATTTCCAGTGACAATGTACAGACTGACGTTTACTATAAACTCTTAGACTCCCATAGCTACCTGAACTACACCTCCTCCCACCCTGTATCCTGCAAAAACTCCATCCCATTTTCCCAATTCCTCCATCTCCGTCGCATCTGCTCCAAAGAGGTGACGTTCCACCCCCAAGCATCCCGGATGTCCTCCTATTTCAAACAATGCTCTTTTCCCCCCTCTGTCATCCAGACAGCCTTCCACCGCACCTCCTCCACTACCTGCTCCGCAGGTCTAAAACCACCCAACTTCCAAACATAATAAACATAGGGTCCCCTTTGTCTTCACTTTCCACCCTACCAGCCTCTGCATCCAACATATCATCCTCAAATACTTCCGCCAACTGCAATTAGACCCCACCACCCAGAACATCTTCCACTCCCCACCCCTTTCTGCCTTCTGCAAGGACCATTCCCTTCACCACTCCTTAGTTTGCACCACACTCCCCACCATCCGCTCCAACCCGCCCGGTACCTTCCCCTGTAACTGTAAAAGATGCTATACCTGCCCACACACCAACTCCCTCACCTCCATCCAGGGCCCTAAACAGTCATTCCAGGTGAGACAAAGCTTCACCTACATCTCCTCCAACCTAGTCTACTGCATCTGGTGCTCCTGATGTGGTCTTCTCTACATCGGTGAGACCAAATGTAGACTAGGTGACCGTTTTGCTGAGCATCTTTGCCTGGCCTGAAACAGACATCCTAACCTCCCCCCCCCCCCCCGACCCCCCCCCCCCCCACTGCCCCTCCGCCATGTCCATCCTCGGCCTCCTCCAGTGTCGCGCGACTCAGAATGCAAATGTGAAGAATACCTCATCTTTTGCCTGGGCACCCTGCAGCCCAGAAGACTCCACACTGAGTTCTCCAATTTCAAATAACCTTCCCATCCATCCCCAGGCTCCCTTTTCATCCCCAGCTCTTTCCTTCTATTCCAGCTTCCAACCGGACTCATCCCTCACATCAACCAACCAGGCCTTACCTCCTACCGGTGTCTACCTATCACCACAATTTTGCTACCCTTCCACTGCACCCCCCCATCACCCTATTTATCTGCAGCTCCCTGTACCCCCAAATCCAGTCCTGAAATGCTTACTTCTCCTCCTCCAGATGCTGCCTGGCCTGCAGTGTTTTTCCAGCCTCCTGTTTGTCTTGTTACAAATATATACTGGTAAAGCTTGGGCTGTTCTCCTGTGTTAAAAAAGCAGAAATTAGATTTGATAGAGATTTGAATGGTCTGGGTGAAGCAGATAGGGAGAAACTGTTCCTATTGTTGGAACTGTCAGAACCAGGGGATGCTGATATTGAGGCGAATGGCAAAAGATCCAAACACAGTACGAGGGAAAAACTATTTTCACACAAGTGCCGAGGTTCTGTAATGCATTGTCTATGTGCGTGGTAGTCGCAGATTTAATCATGGATTTCAGAAAGTTACTTGATAACTATCTAAACAGAAAGGGCCTCAGGGAAAAGGCAGGGGAAAGAGGCCAGGTGAGATGATCTTAGAGAGAAACAGCGCAGTCTCGAAGGGCCAAAACATCTCCCGATGTGCTGTAAACATTGAGATTCCAAATTCTGTGCACTCTAATGTAAAATGGGTCTCTCTCTTATGTTTTATGATAATGACTTGCCTGTTTGAGGCAAAATGCTTCCTTTGACCTGGTGTTGACCAGGGACAGTCAGCAAGATCCAAGTCCCTAAGCAATGGAAATATGACCACAAGTTGCAGCTTAGCCACACATCAGCTTTCTCACACCACTGAAATTCAACCGCTCACTTCAACCAGTACATAATTTTTAATATGCACGTGGAATAAAACTGTACCACTTACACTCATCAAAATACCATTGCATCAGCACTAGCTTCTTGCTACACAGTCAGAAATGCCCATTCCAAGACATAAGTACATATATCAAAGGGGACACTTCAGTACATCGCTGAACAAGGGCTACAGGGTTGGAGGTGGTGTCTTTTACGTGTAGGAGGGCAGGGGAAATCTCCTAGTAAATGTGCAACCCTCAAGCAACAGCACCAGAACGTTTGTGATTACACAAACAGGACAAACAGACATGGTCCAAACTGGCACAAAGTGACTGTGGAGTGACAAAGTGAAAACGCACCCCCCCACCCCCCCCCCCGCGCCCCCTAACCCCGAGAGAGGATTTCATTGGGGAAGCCAGCCTGATGAGGTTCCCCAGTGACTATGGCCGTGTTCTGGCCAGAGCCTCCACACAGCTGGGAATGTTAAAATGAAAATCTCCAAGAGGGTCAAGAACCAACTCCAGTGATGCAACTGAGCCTTGACCATAAAGTGGAGTAGGTTACAAGCATGAAACTCCACCATCTCTCTGGATTCAACAGTTCCAGGTCAACTGGACATCAGCTGAACATACCTCACGAGCGCTTCACAGCCGATAAATTCTTTAGGTGTCGTTACCTTATAATTCAGGAATTGCTCACTTTGTGTCCAGTAAAATCCCACAAGCAGCAATATGTTGACCAGAAAAACTTTAACATTGTAAAGCATGAACGTTGAACCAGGACACCACTGAGATCTCCCCAGACCTTTCTGGTTCACCAGCGTGGGTCCATCCAAGCAACTCCCTTGTGCCCATTGGAGTGTCAGCTTGGATATATACTCAACTCTCTGGAGTGGGGTTTTAACACTCAACCCTCACACTCTAAGATGAGACTGCCAATGGAGTCACAGCTGACACTTCCACCTGTTACCGTGCAGTTTGTGTGCCTCTCAGTCTCAGCTCTAATACAGCTAACGCGACGAGAGAGTGAAGGCAATAATACAGAATGTATATTGATTGAATTAGATCATTGAAAAAGGCAACACCATCTGCTGAAAGATGATGATGTCCAGTTTACAACTGTCACTCATATATAGCTGACCTTGCAACCTTGCGTTTATCATGTGGGTGTAATTTTGCTGCCATTTCAGGGTCAACTTCAGCCAGTCGTTTGTAGAGTTCTTGACAGTTGAGTTTTTCCAGTTCCTCCTTCCGATTGGGTGATGGTGTTCGACTCCCAGCCGCATGGTCGGGAGCAGAGAAAGCCTTCTCTTCCTGCAGCACACAGTATACATAACATCAATCAACCACATCAATGGACAGAATGTCACAAATTAACTGCAGCAAGTGGGAAATTGAGCACCATAGTTTCAATTCCTGAAATGAGAGTGACAGTGCTAGAAATGCAGGGGTCTGCACTGAAACCACTGATGAGTTCAGCTTAGTCTTTTCAGCAAATTGTTACAGCATCTCACTCTTACAGGATTTTATGCACACTATCTTACATCAACTTGCGCAGCAGAGTAACAAGGATAACGGTGACTGCACTCCTTTGCAGGCTGACTGGACACTCTGCATGACAGTTAAACACCTTGGTGAAAGGAAACTGATAGGAATAATTTAGCTGCTCTTTGAAAAACAAAGTACACATCTGAATGCACAAAATAAAACTAATACTCCAATTCACCGAGTTAGGTTTGACCTACTTCTCTCATGTGTAATACATAATAGCAAATGCGCTATGCTCCTTGATGTACATAAGTCATCTTACTTAACACACAGAATTACATTCTCTCTTTCAGCCTCTAGCACATTACTACCTTGCACTCTGTTGTCATAGAGAGCTGAGCCCTCCTGTCATATGATACATTTATCAGTGATCAGAGAAGAGCCCCACTCCACTCTGGAATACAATACCCAGTAACCCAGCCTCCTAGTGATACATGCTCAGTGAAGCTCTCGGTCAGTGTGTGGTTGATCAGCCACTGTACCAGGCTCAATGAAACCCACCTTTGTGTCTACCAGCACTTTCCAAAGCAGTGATTCGATGTAGTAGTTGGTTCCTCCCACAATGATTGGGACCTTCTGTCTACCGATGATATCTTTGATGTGAAAAGTTAATGAAGATTTGCATAGTTTAAAGTTTGAGGACTGCATTTAACCTGAACATTAAAATACACAAGCCTTTCTCCCAGATGACTTTCAGCTGAACAGGAAATACAGTCTCCAGCCAAGCCAGGGAGCAGCTTATAGCAGGCACAGAGTACAGGCTTGTAACAATAAAAATAAGCCAATTTTAAGAAGCAGGTTCTGTTGGTATCACTGTGACCCAAGTCAAATATCACTGGGTTCACGCCTCACTCCATGCACTCCAGTACTGCAGGAGTGCAGCATGCGGTCAGAGACGTCATCTTTTACATTAAAACCTGAGGCTTCACCTGCCAAAAATCTGAATTTCCTCATCTGAACTTAGAAGTCAACACTTTAGAATCAAACTACAACAACCTGCAAGATGACATTATCCCAGCAATCACTTAATTGTCAGGAAAACCCAACAGATAAAGCAGCGCTAACAATCTTGAGATCACAGACCTGGTGAACTGATACCAGCTCTTCACGTGGTATCCCTAGTTTCCAAATCCACAAGCTGTAAAACTTGTTTGCTTATAGCTGTGAATAAAATAATAAATTGTCCACCCCTCCTCAGCCGAAACTGTTTGCTATTCCAAACTGGAACTCAACTATAATGTCCAACTTTTCACCTCTCCACTACCAACCACCTTCTTAAAACTGCCTCTTCACCCCTCACCAAGCGTGTGAGAGTAGCTCATGACGTTTTTGTCGCAAAGATTGAACCATCAGTTCAGTTGCCTTTGCAGCTTTCCTCTCTACCCCAGCACACCAAGTTCACCTCCTCAGCCACAACATGACAGTGTTCACAAACGCTCCTTGCCCTTCTTCACTTGTCGACAGCTGTTGACAAAGTCAATCACATCATTACCCTATCACACTTCTCCGCCTCTGTTTGTTGATGATATGAAGTAAATGCCAAGCTGTGAGAACGCAAACAGGCAGCTAAGATCATTAAACAAGTGAGCAACAGGGTAATAGAAGAAGAATAATGTGGTGAAATGCAACAGTATTCACTTTGGTGGAATACAAAGGCAGGATATTGTTGAAATGTGAGAAACTTGTAAATGCTGATGTTCAGGCAGGCTTAGGAGTAGTTGTACAAGGAATACAAAACAGAAGCATGCACATACAGCAAGTAATTAGGAAAGCAAGTGGCATGCTGACCTTTATTAGAAGGAGATTGAAGGATGAGACGCAAGGAAGTTTTGTTACGATTGGACAAGGTTTTCAATGAGACCATTCCTGGAACACTGTGCACAGTTTTGGTCTACATATTTAAAGGAAGGATATACTTTTATTGGAGACAGCACAGGAACAGTTCACTGGTCTGGTCCCAAGGATGAGCTGGCTGGACAACAATGAGAGAGTGAGTAAACTATGATCCACAGTTTAGAAGAAAGAGAGGTAATCTCATTGAAGCATACAAGATTAAAAATGATCTTGATAGGGCGGATAGAGAGGTTGTTTCCTCTGGCCGAGGAGTTACAACGTGGGGCACGGTCTCAGAATAAAGGGTCAACAATTTAGGGTGGAGATAGGAGGGCCTTAAATCTTTGTAATTATTTGTCCACAGATGTGGATATTCCATTGGTGAATATATTCAAGGCTGGGATGGAAGGATTCTTGGTCTCTCAAGGAACCAAGGAATATGGGGAGTGGGTGGCAAAGTGAGGGTAAGGGTGATGATCAGCTGTGATCATAATGAATGATTGAGTAGGCACAGGGGGCTGGATGGTCTATTCCTGCTCCTATTTCTAAGTCCCAGCAGGACACCAGTGAGCATGTCTTTGCCTAGTTTCATTCTCAACACTCCCCTGAATACAGACCGAAATCACATTCCCTGCCAACCTGATACAGACAGAAATCATGACCCCACTTCAACACAGACCAAAATCATTGGGCATTCCCACCCCACCCTCAGATTCAGCTGGAATCATCAGCCACACCTAGATTCAAACTGAAATCACACAGCACCCCCCTTCACACGATGAAAGGATATTATCGACAGTGCCTTATTCCTGAAGTCAACAACTGAATAGGAAAGGAGGGGATCCAGGAAGCTGATCATGTGGTGTCTGCACAGTTGCTGCTCTTCACGAGTCACCTTGTTTGTGATGATGTCCAAACCTTTGTAAACCTGTAACGTACACTCAGTATCAACATTGTTAAGAAAGTTTAGCTCCTCTGACTATACTATCCTCCACACCAAAAATACTGCCTCTTAAAACAATATCAGCCACTTCAACACTTCACCCTGAGCCATTGCTCATTTTATAATGTTCACAAATTGCATCTTAACATCCACTGCCGGTTGCTATTTCCAATTCCCCTCCCACAGCCCTCAGATCTCTCCACCTTGGCCTGTCCCAATTATTAAACTGTACACTAAATCCAGACACAGCCAGAGCTAAATCAGATGACAAGAGCAACATTTTAATCTCCAATAAAAACAAGCTATAAGACTGGCTCATCTGTCATCCGACGACTCTATACTGTTTCATTCCCTCACTTTCAACCTCTTCCTCAGATTTAACCCTTTCCTCCCTCATGTTAAATTGGATCTTCCTTTCAGTAATTTATTTTCAAAACCAGTTTGATATTCTCCGTATATACCTTCTTCTATCATTTAGAACCTTTGAATAACCTCCTCCCTTGTTACTAAGTCCGTAACAAAAGTCAGCATGCCTTAACATTGACTTTTTAACCATTGTTTTCTCTCCCTCTCTCTCGGTCAGTTTAGAAACAGACAGTTCAAGTGTGCTCCTCATGTTCTGTCTATCCGTGACCCCCTAACTGATTCCACTGGATTTACATTTACATATTGTCAGAATCACAAAAGTCACTGCAATATCACTCTGTTTTGCCACACCATAGACCACACATTTTATTTCAATATCTAGAAGTGCAACAAGTGTAACCTCAGATTTTAGCAACAAAGTCATTTGATGTGACGGCACTGAATTTTGCAAAAACATCCAAAACAGATTTTTTGTTCATTTTATTCATTCAGTTCACGGGGGCTTGCTGTGCACAAACTGGTTGAAATTACTACACTTCAAAAGGACTTCATTGGCTGCAGAGCATCTTGGGACATCATGAAAAGTGCTATACAATGATAATTCTTTACTTCATCAACCATGAGCATAGGTTGAATTGAATATAACAAAGTCAGATTCTCTGGGGAAAGTTCCCAGCGTAAACAGTTTGGATAAATAATGCCTGTCAACAGAAAATGCTGCTGGGTCTCAATAGGTCCATCGTGATCGATACACAGAGGCAGAGACATGCAAATATGACACAGAATATTTCAACTCAGTGCTGTCTTGTCAACTGCAAAGTTAAATGTTTCTGTCTCCACTGATGTTGCCTGACTGGCTGAGTGACTCCAGCACTGACTATTTTCAGATTTTCAGGATCTGTAGTGGTTCTAATTATTTCACAGGATCTAGCCATTAGTGTTCACATCCCAAAACACACTCAAGAAGGTGGTAATGATGTTCTCGAACAACTGTAGGGGATGGAGGATAAGTAAAGGAAACAGTGCTGTTAGGGAGGGAGTTCCAGGATGTGACCCAGCAACAGTAGTGATTTAGTACTCGGTCTGGATATCGTGAAGCTTGAACGGGAACTTGCAGATGGTGCCATTCCCTGTATCTGCTGCCCTTGTCTTTCTTGATGAAAATGGTCACAGGTTTGGTAGGTACAGTCTAAGCAGTCTTAGTGAATTTCTGCAGTGCATATGAGATAATCGAGACTCAGTAGCAGCAGTGTGTAGGGATAGCAGGAACTGCAGATGCTGGAGAATCCGAGACAACAAGGTGCAGAGCTGGATGAATACAGCAGGCCAAGCAGCAGCATCATAGGAGCAGAAAGGCTATGCTCCTGCTTGGCCTGCTGTGT